TGGGCTGGAGACTGCAAACGCCGAGCGTCGAGACTGTCGTTGCTACGCCTTGCGAGCACGCTTGTTCAACACCATATTACGTAGTTTTCTCATCAGTAATCAGCTCTGACAGGATCCTGAGCATTTTAAGACAAACGTGGGTTAGCCATGTTAACAAAAGGAACCCTATTTCATCCACAATCTACAGTCAGGGAGAACTCAATATCTCTGAAGAACACAGACAACACGGAAGTGGAATCTACGTGACAACTATCGGACTACCTGCGGTGATCAGGGATGTTGTTGCGTCAGTGGGGGTTCCTATGCTGATCCGGGGCTAACTGCGCGGGTCAGAAGGCCTCCGTGTCAGGGATGGGAACGATGTGATATGATATACCCTGCTAATAGCCTCCGGATCGACCAGGAGGTCCCGCCCGTACCACCAGAATGATAGCCAGAAGACACTTCGCGATGGGACGGAATGGCCCTTCGGCCCTTGACCGGGAACGGTAATGCACCCCTGGTGTTTTACTCAAGAGGCCCCTTGCCCGGAAGGAAATAAGGGGTCTTATTATTGTTGAGTGGAGTGGGGGTCTCATTGTTGTCGAATAGGGTGGGTCGAAATAAATTTTAAAAAGTCAACATAGTCATGCCATATTTGCCTGAGAACGTTTATTTTTTCAATGCCCGCCCAAAACTTCGAGAGCAAGGGCAAAGATGGCATGGGCTACAGCTTCCGAAAAACCGAACCGCTTCAGCCACTGCAAGTGCCATCAGACGGCGGGCGCCGTGTTAATCTGTCTTCTGGATAGATAAATAGCTGCGAAAACACGGTCTGTACATCGGTCTAAAAACTACACACGTGGAATATGCGCTCAGACCGCCTTCTGACTGTAAGATCTGGTGTCATGAAGCGTCCAAGGATACTTTTTTCAGAAGCGTAGTCATTTTCGTCCACTCATTGGCCACTACTTAATATTAGCTGCTAGACCAACGGTGTGCGGCCTACGGAGACTGCAACACCTGGAGTCGTGGCTTGTGTTTCTAAAATTTTCGAGTGCGCATGCTCAGAATTACATCACATAACTTGTATTACTAGTGGATTTAAGTGTTTAAAGGTAATCATTTCAGAAGCCTCATCATTTTCGTCCACCGGTGGGACACAACTAAATACTGAGCTAACGCTGCGCGGACTATGGAGACTGCAACGCCTGGTGTCGAGGTTTTTGTTGCTAAGATCTCGAGCGCGCATGTTAAAAAACGCGTTACATGAATTGTGTCACTAATCGATTCTGACTGAATGGTGAACATTTTCAGGCACACATGACCGTGCCATTTTAATACACATTGTTGACCACTCGATCTGCAATCAACTTTCGTCTTAAAATTTGGATCAAGCATATCGATCTACAATCTCCCTTCGCAATATCCCCAATGTCTAAGAACCCAGATTAAAATTTTGACAAAGCTTCTGAATTCTATCGGTTTTAGAAAGAGTCAACTAACTATTGTGAATTAAGAGCGCCAGTGATTTATCCCATGCAGTCGTTCAACGCCTGATTTCTGCAGTTTATTGACCTAAAAACACAACAGAATTGAGCGCACGATGGCTCCTGGTTTCTGTTCTGGTTAAAAGGTGAAAATAACAATGCAGCGAAGAAAACTGCGTCACTTGTTAACAAGTAAGCTATATCCGGGGATTTGGGGGCACACTATAAGATGGTCTTTTGTCAACCTTGTGTTTCCCCTTGACAAGGCTCTGGCTACGCCCCTGCCTACACACAAAAGCAGATCAAGTCGCATACGTCGCATGAATGAGCAATGAAGTGTCCGTTAGGCCAATTCACTCCTAAGGCAGACAGCTTCCCGGAGGCTATTTTTCTGCGATGGTGTGGTGTGAGGGAAGATAGTCCGGAAAAGATACTGCTGCATGTGACCGATACGTGTTTCGTTACACCATGTAGTAAGTAACGCTGGTCCAAAAATATGCAACAAAGCAGCCATACGATCAGTTCGCAGTCAGTCATGCGGGAGACATCCGGGCCTGGGCAGTGGCCACCGACGACGGACAGGAGCAGGGCCCAGATAAGGAACATGTGACAAATGAGGTTGTTATGCGGCTTGATTCTTAAAAGAGAATCTCCAATTTTATGGCTTTTGACACTTTGTTTCTAGCAGTTCAAGTCCCGAAATTTGTTTCCGCCTAAAATGCTGCGATAAGTCTTATCTTTTGAAAAGCAGCGAGGGAAATGAAGGCCCATGAAAAATCTGTTCGCACTGGGGGCCATCGGTCCACTTTCAAAATTCTTACCAGCCTATATCCTTACCGTATTTTGGCATTTACACTGTGGAGGCAGATGTTTCTTTAATGACCCAAAATGCCTACCCGCTCGTGGAATTTCGCCTCCCCCGGAAAGACAATGTTAAAATAGAGGAATAATCTAGAGAAGCTGGATAGCCTTATTCGCCAAACGACAGATGAGTCCAATAGGCAAAATTGTGCACCACTAAAAACAGCTCTAGATGCATATCTAGCATAGCAGCCATGACATCTGAATAAAGAGTGATAACAACCTCCATCCCTTCCCCCACCCGCCGGTCATCCGGCCCGCTTTCCAGAAAAAGTTCCTGAAGTGCATCCTAAGTTTGTTCGTCGTTTTCAATAGATCGCACAGAGGCTCTACAGTGGACGCGACGTAGAATACGAATTGATATAGGAGTTATAAATGCCAGTTCTGAGGAGGCGGACAGAGGGCCGACCGTGGTGAAGTGGTGCTGCGGTGGGGCGGCCTCCAGAAAGCGGGTATGCGTTTCACGCAGAGCCAGTTCTGATAGGTTGACCCGTTTTCGTGCACCCATTTCACGGCGGCCAAGGCCTCCTACGCACGGGCTGGCACGGATAGATTGTGCGTGTGCCGACCGTAGGGGTAACCACCCGCGTCCACACCTGTGAGCGGCCCTCAGGGCTGGAGTTTTGGATGGTCGGGGGCACTCTGTGCCGTCTGGTCTGTGGCCGCGGCCTACATCGTCAGGACGGACTCCAGGTAATCCTCAGCTGGGAGTCTGGATGGTCGGGGCACTCTGTGCCGTCTGGTCTGTGCCGCGGCCTCGTCAGGACGGGACTCCAGGTAATCCTCAGGCTGGGAGTTGGATGGTCGGGGCACTCTGTGCCGTCTGGTCTGTGCCCGCGGCCCTCGTCAGGACGGGACTGCCAGGTAATCCTCAGGCTGGGAGTTTGGATGGTCAGGGGCACTCTGTGCCGCTGGTCTGTGCCGCGGCCCTCGTCAGGACGGACTCCAGGTATCCTCAGGCTGGGATTTGGATGGTCGGGGCCTCTTGCCGTCTGGTCTGTGCCGCGGCCTCGTCAGGACGGGACTCCAGGTAATCCTCAGGCTGGGAGTTTGGATGGTCGGGGCACTCTGTGCCGTCTGGTCTGTGCCGCGGCCTCGTCAGGACGGGACTCCAGGTAATCCTCAGGCTGGGAGTCTGGATGGTCGGGGCACTCTGTGCCGTCTGGTCTGTGCCGCGGCCTCGTCAGGACGGGACTCCAGGTAATCCTCAGGCTGGGAGTTTGGATGGTCGGGGCACTCTGTGCCGTCTGGTCTGTGCCGCGGCCTC